CAATTTCAGTTGTAACCTGGCAGTTCACCATGGTAGATAATGCACCTCCTCAGTCAGAGAGGGTTTGTTTGTTGTGACAGTTCCCGAAAATCACGACTGATCATGATTTAGTTGAGACTTCAAGACTTTTAGTTCTCTTAGAACTAACTAGTCTTCAATGACTGTGATAATTTTTCATCTCCGCCTTCCTGTATCGGTTCTATAAAACTTGGAAGCTGCACAATTACCAGGTTCTCCTACGGAAGTATAGAGCTGAAATCCAAGTTTTCAAATATATTGTGCTACTTCAAAGAAGGGACTGATGTGCCCTCTTGAGTCCGTGGTGAATAAGAAAAGGAGCAATGGGCTTAAATAGCATCCCTCAGAAACAATTTCTAGCAGTGGGAACATAAAGCATTGGCAGGCTGTCTGGGGTGGGCAGGGGGTCTCCATCGCTGGAAGCATTTAGGAACAGGGTAGAGAAGCCTTTGGGAAGAGTCCCCTTGGCACTGTTGATCCTGTACTGGGAGGAGATGTTTTTTGAAATCCTTACGGGTCACCTTTTGTATGATTTGGTTTCTTGCGACCATAAATATATAAGAAACATTGTAAAACACTTAGCATCAAAGGGTGTAGGTGTTTTTCACTTATTTTTAGCACTTGACCTTACAAGACTGAAAAATAACTTTTTCCTTCTGACTTTTGTCCTTCACTTGGCAAAGGTTAGTTAAAAACACAGAGATGGAAAATATTTAAACTTTAAACTGGTATGAGCTTTTCTTTTTGTTGTTTGTTCGTGTGCTGGTTTCATTTGTGATGTCAGCCCCAGTCAGGGAAAAAGGTGTAACAAACCTGGCACGGCACAGAGTGCAAAAACACTTTTACACTGAAGCCCAAATAAACACTATCTACTGCTCACTTTTTTTTTTAATCTGTAATGCTTAAAAAAATTACATTGACAAATCTGGAAGATCTTTCCCCGTCAACAAGCTCAGATGTTTCAGCTAGTTTTGAATTTGTCCTTTTTCATCAGACACAGGCACCCAGAAATAACCAAGTCATGACCAAACCCCTTCTGATCTGCTACTGCCTGTTCAAGCTGTGTTAGTGATTTACAGGGATTTCTAGCCCTCAGATCTGAATATAGCAAGGTAAAAAGTTAGTCCAAGCAAAATAAAGGTAGGAATGACCTCACCCCGTGGAGACACCGTGTCCTGCTCAACTCAAGAAAGCTCTGTATAAACCAGCTACACTTTGATTTGTACTGCTGTTTTGCTACTGTCAGTGAATAGAAATGACCCCAGACACTGTCGCAGGCTAAAGAGAAATGGCTTCAGGTTTCTCGAAGAATGTGAAGACATAGTGTTTGCTGCCTAAATAGGCAGACAAATTATTTGTTCAAACATTGAAAATTGGTGTGATGCTGATTTAATAGACTTTGGCTTGTTTCCTTTAGAGCAAGTGTGCGATACTGAGCACTATTCTGTCACCATGCTGTCCTACACTGATGGCTGCTGAGGGAAACAAGTGCCATTTCTCATCAGTCAACGTTCCTGACTTTACTACGGTTGAGAACTTGGATCTTGTGAGAACATACTCTCAGTTTTCATCTTGTGCCATAACACGTCAGCCAACAGCAGAGTAACTTAGAAGCAAGCTGTGCTCCCCGTGAACCAGTTCAGGATACCCTCCACTAATAACTGCGTTACTGGTGACTCCTTGCAGGGGAGAACAGAGACGGTGATGTACCTGCAGACTGTCCGCTTTGCCGATTTGTCCACATTGCCAAAGTTCTCTTTTTCTCTTCCCTGTCAAGAGATCCACGCTGGCTGCTGGTAGCCCTGAGTGTGTTAAATAACTGGGGACTTTGAGGGCTGGAGCCCCTCTCCTATGAAGAAAGGCTGAGAGAATTGGGCTTGTTCAGCCTGGAGAAGAGAAGGCTCCGGGGAGATCTTATTGCCCCTTCCAGTACCTGAAGGGAGCTACAAGGAGCTGGGGGACTTTTTTACAAGGGCAGGGAGTGACAGGACAAGGGGGAATGGATTTAAATTGGAAGTGGGGAGGTTTAGATTAGATATCAGGAAGGAATTCTTCCCGCAGAAGGTGGGGAGCACTGGGAGAGGTTGCCCAGAGAAGCTGTGGATGCCCCATCCCTGGAAGTGTCCAAGGCCAGGCTGGATGAGGCTTGGAGCAACCTGGTCTACTGGAAGGTGTCCCTGTCCATGGCAGGGGGGTTGGAACTGGATGGGCTTTAAGGTCCCTTCCCACCCAAACCATTCTGTGATTCTATGACTTGCAGCTTGCCCCTACAAGGTATTCTCAGAAGGGAGGGTTCCCTCCTTTCCTTTTGTCTTTTGCAGTGACTCCAGGAACTTTCTTTTTTTTAATGTCAATTAATGAAGTTTCTTCAGTCCGTAGTAAAAACAAAGTGATCTAACTTCTCTATCATATGGTTTGGGTGAGCTCATTTGGGTGTGAAACAGAAAGCATATTAGAAAACATTGTGAATTTTGCATATAACCAGTTTATAGTATTCTAAAAGGGCAGTTTTTAAAAGGTGGTCAGAAGAATGCTGAACTCTGTACAGGGGAAGCAGGACTCCTCTTGATAGCCTGGGACAGCTCTTCCTGGGTACAACAAATACCCCTCCCTCGCTGGCTGGGGGTCACATTGTTTTACAAGCTGATTTCACATGGTCTCAAAAACGGTTGTTTCTAGTCAGCCTATGCTCTCTTCTTAAAAGCTGGGTTTTTTTGGCCCCTGAAAACTTAGAAACACGGAAGTATTCGGTTAGCTGGATACTGGACTTTCAAGTGACTTTTTTATTGGGTGTCTGACTTGAAGGGTTTTTTAATGTGGGTTTGTTTGGGTTTATGTCCTGATATCATTGAGTAATACTTTACTTAGACAGCAGAAAACATGATTCCTGCTCATATGTATTTTATTTGCCTTGTATTGAATAGTTCCTTTTTTCTTTTCCTTTCTTGTGTGTAGCACTAGGATTTTGATTGTCTCATCATTCTATACCGACATCCGTTTCTCCATGCAAAGCAAATCTGATGTCAGTTGTTTCCGAGGTGACCTCACAGGTGACCCTTGTCCGTTCTTCATTCCATGTGAGTTACATCTCTTTCTGTCTGGAGTTTTGACTTCTCCCTGCTTGAAAAAAACATTTTTTTCTGGAGAGTTGGCAACAACCTTCCTTTATTAATGACCTATCAGGCTTCTGTTGAAGTAATGTGCTTTTCCCTTAAAACTCTCCACTACCATAACAGGTAATAATGGGCTTCCTTGCTTGCCACCCAGTAGGCTCTGGGATGGAGCAGTCTGAAAAGTGGGAATGCCTCTCTCACCCCTTGACAACAGCATCTTCCAACAGAAAGACGGATGGACATCACCTGTCACTGTTTCAGGTGAAAGACTTGGGCTCTGTGGGATGTGTGACAGGGTATTTTTCATTCGCTCCCCATTTGTTGCTATAAAACAAAAATTGTAAATAGCACTTCCCAGAACACCCCTGAGAGAAGCAATATATTTTATCTTTGAGATCAGTTGCCATGGTTTTGATTTGTCTGGAAGGACCCAGAAATGCTAAAACCTGGGAAACTCGGTTGTTGTGAGTTCCAGCTAAACCACTTCAGTTTACCTCAAGTGCCAGATCCTCAAAGCTGGTTTACCTGTGGGCTGACAGCAAACACTCACTTGCTGCGTGCAGCGTGAGATGGCCTGTGTGCCAGACATCAGCATCAAGCCAAGACAAGCCACCCAGGTAACACATGCACATTAATTTTATTTTCAGTATAAATGTGCTTGGAGAAAGAAGGTGTGCAATCTGCCCACTGCAGCATTCCCATAATATACAATAATGATATTTTTTACTGAGCAGGCATGCTCACCAGCGCCTGCAAGGCTGCACCCAGATACCTTCGAGAATTGTGCACAGCCACAGGGGTGGGAAGTTTCTTCCTGAGCACGGGAGGTCTGAGGTCAAAAGGAGAAAAAAAATCTTTATGTAAACAGCGAAGGATCCCGCTGCTCTAACACTTTAAAGACTGAGCTACTGTTTCCTGGGGCTTTCCTGTCTGTGTCCCCAGGGGTGTTGTGTGATCGACACACTGACAGGTTTCGCCATCAAACAGTGAGAATGTGCATTCAAGAATTTTGCTGGTCTTCAAACTAACCTTTTTTTACTGGTCGCACTTTAACTTGCCATTTCCTTGATGTAGTAGCTTTAAGATTTTCTTTGGGCGGATTTTCTTTGGCTGCTCTCAATGGATTTCTCAATCCGCTCTGTGTCTTCTGATGGAAAGTGCTGGATTGAGACTGATGGAAAAAGCTGGATTGAGACTCGTTGCTTCACAAACAAGAAACAGCAAAGTCCACCTTCCTTTCAGGCTGTCCCTTCTGCACCGCATCCTCCCTTAGGAGAAGCCTGGGTGGGGTGTATTAAGATAAGGGCCTGATCCCCCTCTGAAATAGGATGTGATAGCTCCTCTTTGGAGCTGGCAGAGAATAATTCTACCCCAAGTGTGAGTGGTGAAACTGCCTTTTGGGAGTTTAAAAAGCCTTTTCTGAAACTCTAGTGAAATCCAGATGTCTCATGGCTTTTGTGATCTTGTGAGCAGATTTAGAAGGAAAATCTGTGAAGGATAGGGCTATGAATCATCCGTCTATCCTGTGTCCATGAAGAAGAAATAAAAACTCCAATCCAAAAAGAATCCATTTAATTCTGGAATTTTCTGACCTATTTTGGTGCAAGCCTGTCAAAAAAAAAGAAAAAAATTAAACTGCTCTCCTGATGAGTTTCTCATATTGTTTACTTTTGTAACGTTCTCTGCGGACTGGCAGCCAGAAATGACGTCCACCCCTCGTCCAGCATCAGAGAATAAGAACTTCAGAGGAAGGAATGCAACTTCATAAATAGCAAACCACAGACACTAATGGGGAGCAGAGGCAAACCTGCAGGTTAAAAATTTGTTGCAAGCGAAGCCCATACATCCACACTGCCTGGAGATTCGAAGATGATTTCAGCTCTAGCATTTGCGTTTCTCCTCTGCCTCTCCTGTCCTTTTTCATCGTGTCAGCAGAGAAGAATAGGTAAGAAATTTTAATCATATTTTATAGACTCGTATGCTTTCTAGACGCCTGTGAAAATTCTCTTTTGCCGAAGGGAATGAGGAAGAAGGTAAGGTTTCAACTGCATCTGCTGAAGCCTGAAAGCAATGTTCAGGGATTTTGTAGTTTCACATGAAACTTGAATCTTAACTGTGTCTTCGATTTTTCACTCTTAGATTTTCCCCAGTTCCCCTCCTGAGTAGTGAAGTTTTTCCTAAGTAAAATATTTTTTATAGGGCAACTGGAAATTTTGCTGTGTTTTGTAATGACCTGCAAGAGGCACTGGACATTAATCTGCGTTTTGGGTGGGATTTAAGTTAAAAAACCCAATCATGCAGGAAGTCCTGTAGCAGGATCCCTGGATATTGTCTCTGCTTGTGCCCTCAGAGCTCAGGGAAGCCCTGACTTCTAGGAACGTAGCCATGCTAAGTTCCTTACAATGCTTCCACTCCTCTGAACAGCCCGTTAGGGGAGAGCTCAGCTCCGAGGGGGTCTGTGGGATCCGGCAGGCTCAGGCTGTGCACCAGCTCCAGGTGTGTGCTTGTGGAGACAGAATGAGCCCTCGGAGGAGGATGCGTAGTAACGGAAACCTCCACAAGTGCATGGATTTCCTTTGGAAGTCTCTCCGGAGTGGTTGAATCGTTATTGTGAATTTGAATATTTTCAAAAACCCCAAACATCTATTTTAAATTACATCTTGCTACTAGGGATGGAAAATTCTTCCCAGGAATAACGGAAGCTGCCTGAAGCCTTCACGCAGAGCTTATTCAAAACCTCTGTTTGAAGTTAGAATTTATGTGCAAGCTCCTTGTTTCAATAAAATAAGAAACGTCACTTTAATTCAGTCTGTCTTAGAATGACACGTGTGTGGTACTTTTCATTTAGTTCCCGAACCAGAATGGATGGAGAGGTTACAAATCTTCATAAAACCCTCTTGGTTCTGTGTGGGTAAGAACCGTGAGACTTTCAGGCTCAGTTGTTCCACGAGAATGCCCAAGTTGTTGTATTGAGTCAGTCATATGGGCTCACATCCTCCTTTGGCACTGGCAAATCCTTCATGCTCAAGGAGGCAGACGCCAAATCCAGCTAATTTTCCCCCGAGCACCCAGTGCTGTTTGTTGCAGACACTGCTATTTCTCTCTCCGTAAAGGTTTGCTCACACTGTAGGCAAGGTGTGACTTGTGTTAGAGGACTGATTCTTCTAGAAAAACCTGGAGAAAGGAGGTTGTACTTTCTCACGGCAGACAGGAGAATACCAGAGTTGAACTTTTGTGCCCAACTGTTTTTTAAGTAATTCCAGTTTTCTTAAAATCTACATAATTCTAGAAACAATGAGCTACTTCCATTCATTCCTCTTGAGTGAAGCGGTGAGCGTAGACTAGATTTTTAGCATGTCTCAAAGGACTAGGCTAGTCTAGACTCTAGCAGATGGGAGGGCAAAGTCATGTTAATCTGCCCCAGATGACCTTGTAGGACGATTTATATCCTCTGTTCCGCGCAGTTTAAACAGGCTTTTGCAATGTTGCATGGGTGAGCAGATGCATCCTTTGTGCCCCAAACACTACATGGCAATTTGAAACTGCCGCTACCCAAAAAGAACCCGTCCCCAGCAGGAAGAGCCTGTACCTTGACAACAGGCGAGGCAGCGGCTGATGTGCCGGTTTTTCACGTTCCTTGCTTGGCAGCACATTCGGGATAGACTCAGCAAAGAGCCTTACTTCAGTGGTGCCCTTCATAGCAGCTTCCACAGCGCTGAATTATTAATTTGCTTCTTTTGGCAGCAAAGCCTTCCTATGTGTGAACAGCAGAGGCCGCGCCAGATGAACAGCTACCACAACTGCCAGACTGCCAGGCCAATTTGTTTGCTGCGGGGTAACTGCTACCTACCTGACAGGCACGGCTGATCATCACTCTGCCCTGCCCAGGGCAAATTCTACCCTGTGTGCAAGTCCCTGTGAATTCCACAAGCTTCTAGTTAGGAACTGGCAGAGACTGGTGTGGAGGAATTGGTGTCTTTAAGCTGTATTTAATACCAGTTGGTTTGTACTGCTAATGGCCCTTCTGTGTTTTTCCTAACCTTTTAGGAGGTGAATTTGGGCCAGAAATGCTGGAAGAGATGAGAGAAACTAACCGTGTGCTGATGGAAGTTCGCGATTTGCTGAAACAGCAGGTGAGGATGGGACCTAATTCCTTCTGTGCTGCACAGGAGAGATCACTGAATCCTTTGTCCCATGTGCCGACTTCTGGAACTGGCCGGGGAGGGGGAAACTTCTTTGACTTAGGTGAAATGAGCAGTAGGATTATTGCTCTGGAAACCAGGATCAAGAGGCGGTCTCACAGTGAGATCTGTAATTCTGAGATAAAGTGGATTCGTTTGAATCCCAGATTCTGCTTAGAACCGTCCCTGCTGGAAAGCAGTGTGCACGGAGAGCGAGCGCCTAAAAGACATGCGCACGCAGTGGGTATATATTTAACTGGGAAAACAAGTCACTTTTTCCTTGGTTTTGTGGGCTCGTGAAGTCAGCAGAGTCCAAACTTGGATGATGGGAGAGACCTTTCAGCCATCCATTAGGGTCCTGGAAAGGGAAGTCATATGGAGTCTAAACAAGCTCTGCATTCACTCTT